CAGCTGTTTGCACTCGCAGATTCTTCGGGGGTCCCAAAAGCCTTCAGGAAACTTTCTTCAATGAGGCACACCTAGTAATCAATCAACACCAAGGGGTTTCTGAATCCCGGGCTCTCAAGAAAGCCAAGACTCTTCCAAGGACCAACAAGGGGAGCAAAAGAACAAGTTGATGGCCTAGAGGTCTCCCTTAAAACCAACATGAACGAGCAAGCCTACGAACAGTTCCGCAAAAACGACACATTAGGTGCCAGTTTTCGTGTGTAAGACATGTGGCTTGTCTCCCCTTCCGCAAGTTCCAGAGGCTCGGAAGCTCAGTGGCCCATGAAAAAAAAACGGCACTCTTGCTGGTTGATTTCAATCTGACACTCATCCTAATCAGAAAACTTAAGTGGAATCCAGGCTCCCGGGGCTATCGTACACTTCGGTACTCGTTGGAGGACTCGGGTCCTCCTCATTAAAATGGACAGCCAAGGCCCGTTTGGTTTGCCCCAATGTGCCAGAGAGCACAAGCAATGGACGCGGACAGAAGGTGGGGGAAGACGATCATCTCCCAACTCCCGGGCACAGCAGACCTCAACTCTTCAGCTACCCACTTCATACTCAGTCTACCCTGAAACATAAAACTTAAAGAAAGAAGGAGGCAGGTCCCGGCCATCTTTTTCACGATCTGTCGGCGCAACAGTGGGCGGCGAGCCTTGAAACGGGCTCGACTGACTCTGAGCCTCCCTGCACAGTAGTGGTCGTGGTCATGTAGCACCTGAGTCTGGTTAAATGGGTTCAAGAGGTCTACCCAAAACCATACGAGCAAGCCTGCGCCTGAATATACGTTGCCTGAATATGCTTTGCCAGCAAAAGAACACCGGAAAACTAAATGCTCCATGCCCTGGTGGTTTGTTGTTGGAAACGAGAGCTTGTCACCACCAAGTCCCTGGCAAGTCATAGAATTGGTTGAGCGAGCCATCCCGGTACAAAAACTAATCCGCTGCAGCTTCAGAACGAATCCCAACAACGCCAACACCTTTGAGACCAACCCTTGTGGGCCCGCAAAAGCAGCGGAATGCGTGAACCAGGCAGGCTCTCCATTCAACAAAGTCACGAACAACACTTAACAAAAAGTTGACTGCAAAATATGGGGGTTAGGGTTAATTTAGTTTTAGTTTAGGGATGGTTTAGTGCTTGTGAGTGCGGGTTTAGGGTTGGTTAGAGTGGGTTTAGGGTTGGTTTAGGGCTGGCTTAGGGTGGGTGTAGTGGGTTAAGGGTTGGTTTAGGGTGCGTTTAAGCTTTCTTTGAGTGCTTTCTGTGGGCGTAGGGTGAGTTCAGGGTTGGTGTTAGGCTGGTTTTGGCTAAGGGTGGAAGTGGTTTGGGATTGGTTTAGGGCGGGTTGAAAGGGTCGCAAAACTGCCAAAAGCCACACAACACTCGCAACACAAAGACAGTCAGCCGGAATAAACGCCCCCCGACAAAACATAGAAACAAACTAAAACATAGATCATGGCCCTCCGATGAAAGTAATGTATGTAACCTTGGCGTTCGACTCACCAACCCAGCCGGCCAACCAACCAACCGACCAACCCAGGATCCTGTCTCCAACAAGCTCGCAGGCAAAAAACAAAACTAAACGCGCTGCACGGTCAACATATGCTGTTACCCTAAAGGCCCAGAGATGACGCGGGAACTTGCGTGGCAAGGCCCCTATCCTTCCCAAGCGGACCATGAACTGGCTATGTTGAACTATCCTATGACACCAACATGATGAAGCTTTCCATAGGCCTTGCTAGAAACAACCGTTCGACCTTCACGGAGGTTCTGGGCGCTGCTACAAGTCAAAATCAGATTCCAAAAGGCCGCGGCTTTAGAAATCCAACAGGGTCCGCAGGTTTGTTTTGGAGCAAACTTGAGAAGATGCCATGGCCATGTGTCTAAAAAATTGGAAGTGACCAGCCCTACCCTTCCGCCCAGCTTCTTTTTTGGGGTAATGTCCAGTGGCACCTTTCTGTCCGTCTCTTTGGAGGGGCTTCCCTTCAAAGCCCACTAATCACGAAAAGAGGTTGCCGAGTCTTTTCCCGTGGACACTGGGGGTCTCAACTTGCCAACCTGAAACTGTTCAATAGCTGTTGGAAGGGATGGGACTTTTCCACTCGGGACCGAGGTGACGGGGTGACACAACTCGTAAGTTTTTGGCTCGATGCACATGGATTCACGTCGGCACTTGCACCACCTGCGCATCGTTGTGGATGCCTGCCCATACCTCGGCCGGGGTCGGTTCAGGGGTCCCTCAGAGTTGGGTTAAGAATTGGCTGTGCTGTTTTTACTACCGCTGTGTGCTCACTCAGTGCTGCTTGGAATGAGTGTGGGTTTCAGGCTGCTTGGCATAGACCAGCAAATCTTGCAACCCATGTTTTGTTGTATGGTCCAAGCAGTTGTATTTTTCAGGCCGGAAAAGAATGTCAGAACAACTCAATTCTGCAAATTATATCATGAATCAAGGCTCCAAACCAGTCTGTGGCTACGGGAAAAACGATTGGCTTCCGTTTGACTCGATTGGCTGACATCAGTCCAAAACTTTCAGTTTGCCACCAAACCCAAACAGGATCGATCCTCGCGACCCGAGCCAAATGGTACTTTATTGTAAGGGGTGTCCTACTCGGACCAAGTCATCGAAGAAAAGCCCCTCAAAAGGCTTGCCCACTTTCGACCGTCTTGGGATAAAAGGGAAGCCCTGTTTTGATGTTCCCCAATCTCGCCTTGCCCATTCAGTGATATGTACATATATATATATACACACGTCAATGAGATGTAAAGGAACACATCAAATACATGTGAAACTTGTCTTGCACATTACATTTGTTGATGCTAGGCTATAAAGACGGTCTACTCCGCTGGAGTTGTCTGCGTTTGGAGCCCCCAGCCTCGTGACCCAAAAGGTAGAGCTTGGGTTGACCATTTTTAGTGGGCACACTGGGAAATGGATCGCTGGAAAACGCACCACCCCACCCGCGTTGAGGCTGTATGAACATGGCATAGGCTTTGTTGGGTTTCGCGCTGTAGCATGATGTAGTATGTCTCGTAAATGTGGACGAATGCCTAGCCTTGAAGTAGTTGGAGGACCAGCCAAAATGGGACATTCGCCATCTAATGTGCTTTCGCAATCAAAATTTGGGAATCTTTTAGTGGGCATGGGTTGGGGAATTGATGCCCACCAACAAACATTGGAGGCTTCTCCAATCAAAGTTCATTGCCTTGTGCCAAGCGCGCGAGTTCGCTCACCTCAAAGACTTTGATACCCGGGCTACCCTCAAATCCCCTACTAAAAGCTTGACTTTTAGTGGTTTAAACTATATAAGCCCCAAAAAGCACCTAAGGGGGCAGCTGGGAACCGCCAAGATACATCCCTCACTGCGGACATGGTTGCACGGTACAATCACGTGAATCATGGAAACGCAGAAAGGCGAAAAGGTCAGATTCAAAAGGTCGATTCCCATTGAGCAAGTCAGCGTTGCTCATAGGAGTCAGGTATTGGTTCCGGTGTCGAGGGAATTTAATTACCACTAGAGTGTCTTCTTGAGGGTGCCATTTTTGGAGTGGTGTCAATGGCAACCAAAAGAACACCGCCCGTGTTTTCTTCCTTGCTTTTGTTTTGGGGGCGGGGTGTCCCGGAATGTACCTTAAGTCATGCGCTGCACGTCTGAGTGTCCGCATGGCCAAGCCACATGGCCTCATAGTATGAGAAACACGCATGGTTTCCGGTGAAGGGCAAAATACCAATCCGCGTTGCCACAACTTTATGTCATGTGGGTTTCTCTTTGTACAGAAAGTGGCCCTAAAACTCCAACTGTACTGAAAGGGGTGCAACAAATCGCTCTTAGGTTCAAATTGACGATTAGAATGCCAGTCCTGAATCTACTATTCCTTGTCTCATTTCCGGGAATGACCAAACAATCCGTTCTTTTTGTGCGGGCCAAAGCAACAGGAGCTTAGTTGCTGTTGACCCCTCTGCACAAGCTTAACTTTGTGCGGGTCCAATGGAAAATGAACTATGTCCCACAAAGATCCAACAAGGAAGGATCCAGAAGGATCACGGATTTGAACTAACAGCCCAATTGATGCTAGCGTTTAAAGCTTCAATCCACTATTACTATTTGCAGCAATGGTTCCATTCCCTTCAACACTTAGAGCGCCTTTTGACAAACGTCACGAGCTCGCCGAGCCGAGCTAGTATTGTGTCTCCTGGACAAACAGCCCGAGTGAGTGGCTTCCTTTTCGTTTCCTCTTATGTGAAACTGGCATACTCGTGTGCACACGTTGCTCTGCTCCAAACAGAACAACAAGTAGTAGTTCCCCGAATCAACTTCAACTGAAGAAGAGAAGATACCCTCAAAGGCCACAACAACCATGAGACTTGGAAGACTTGCAGGCTTTGCTCCAGTGGCCGGCAGGCCTACCTGACACTTAAATTTGGAAACGTCTAAAGACGAGGCTTCAAGCCAGATCTGTACAGAGGATTGAGTGGGGTATTTTGCCAAAACCAAGCTGACAAATCGCCATGAAATGTTGTGCTACATTGGACGCTGAAAAGGACCGTGCCCACAAGGCAGTTGCCCGGTTCTGACAAGATATTGCGATTCGAGGGCAGCTGGATGTGAGACATGGGTGGCGATGAAAGTGCTTGTCTTTATCCTGATATGAACGAATGAGGGTCTCAGTCCATGAGACAAACCCATTCAGCATCCAGCTAGGAATCCTGTTCCTCAAATATTTCCGCCCGCGCCTGGCGGAGTTAAAAAGCCATCAACCTCCGTGCCGGATGTCCGGCAGGCTATGGCACTTGCGATTCTCACTTCCCGAGGAACCGAAAGTCTCGAAAAACTTTTGGCCACAGAGAAGGTGACTCCCAAAGCGGCAGCAAGGAAGCCAGGAAGGGAGACGGGGATCCAACCAACCCAATGGATCCATTTCCTTGTACCAAAAAACTCACGGAGTGAGCTGAAATTTCATTCCCATCACAACGCCAAGGGCAAAGTCTCCCTCCAGGTTGTCCATGAGGACAGTCGGTTGGTAGTCTTCACCTGAACTTGTTTCCGGAAGTCCCCAAAAACTTGCAGAACCGCAAAAAGACAGAAGAAGGATGTGTGCGTTTTCTAAAGGAACCCGCAAGCTGGTTTCCTTTTGGTTTCTCCTTCAAACAGCCAAATATCCCGAACCAAAAAAGGCACCCACAATGTTTAGAGGAAACTCATTTTCAAGAGCTTCTTTTCCATGCTAATTTGCATGCAAGTGGCAGGTGATAAGGAGACAGCATGGACTGAGCCAAACTCCCCAAAGGAGATCAAGCTGATTGACTAGTTGAGAAATGTCCAACAGTTGGAAAGTTGGCTTGGCTCCGCCCCCTATGCACCGACGCGGGGACGAACCGCTCCAAGTCTTACAGCCTAAGCGGCTAAGGTTCTTCCAAAACCACACATAAACACCACACAAGACCTCATCGGGGGCGGCAGGCAGCAAATTTCTTTGTTGCCGCGCGATTTTCTGTAGCATCCCCCCCCGCTCTGAACCCAACCAACATTCGGTGTTCGGGCAAAACCAAGGCCTTGGGGGCAGGATGGGGCAGGCTTGGGGTGGGAGAGCAGGTTTTTTGATGACCATTCTTTGCCGATTCACTTCCTCTGCGGATTCTGCAAGGGCGATTCCACAACACATTGGCTTGCTGCTTCTACCAACATGCGCATAAGGTTTTGTACAAGCCTCACTATCATCCCCATCAAAATAGAACTACACACCAAAATGGGAACAACAGGAGCGCCCACGCTAATTCATTCTCAAGCCGATGGGATTCTCAAAATGGGCTCATCTTATTTTGGGTCCCACAGATTGTTGTTGGGCGATGCTGAGATAAGGCAGGGCGGAAACGCGCAATCGTTCACAAACGTCTTTCTGTGGATGCCTTGACAGTGAGAAATATTGTAAACATAAAAATCACGACAGACGCACGAAAATGGAACATTTGTGGTACCCCCTCCCACAAAAGAATACGCCCTTCCGATTTTTGGTTGCTAGCATGTTGCGGATTTGCTGGCGATATGCATGTACCTTTGCAAATTACTGTAACAATTTACAAACATGCAATTGCAGAATTCCCGATTTCAGAATCTTCATGCTGGTCAAGCTCGCCTTAGCCCTAGCTGAACTCGATACAAGTTGCACGGACGTGTAAATACGGTTACGTGTCATATAGGTTGTAAACCAACCCACGCAAGGGCACCCTCAGCAAAAGCAAACTCGTATATCTATATATAAGTGTATATATATATATGTGCATATCTATGCATATAATAAACACGTATATAAAACAGATATATGTATGCACCCCCAAAACATGCGCCTGCTGCTTATGTAAGGCAAGTCAGGTCATTTTAGATGGATGTTACCGAAAGCGGGCCCATTTGTTGGCAGACTTGCGCAGATGATTCATTAACACTTTGCCACCCATGAATTGTAAGTGCTTCTACTTTCTGAAACATGTAGTGGCATTCCTCCTGCTCATCCTTGTTGAATTAGTTCATACATCTTCTGGCCTGCGCCAGCACCTGCTACCCACCTTGCATCTCTCATCTTAACTCATCTGCAACCACCCTTCGTCTGTCAGCTCACAAACCTTGGCCAATACCCAACCATCTGCTCACATCTTGTATGCCGCTCTGCCAAAATAACTAATTTCCCTGAGCAAAATCTAAAGTCGCTAAGAAGCGTGCAAAACACTGGCTTTACAGTCTTTGTTCAATACTCAGGGGTTAGCGTAGAATTATAAAACATGTTCTACAAAAGTAATCGTCCAATGTCCATATTCTGAACTACTTTCTGTACTTACCGCACACAAGTCCAAAAACATAAGGTGCACAACCAAGCAGGATGACTGCAAGTAGACGCTGTAAAGCGCGTAAAGCACTGTCGGATCCAAGAATTAAGATTCAAGATGTTCAGGACTCTAGATCTGCAATCTTGAGCCCAGTATAACGCCCCAAATCGCTTCAAAGCGCTTCTGGATCTAAGATTCAAGATTCAAGATAACCAGGACTCTAGATCTTGAATCTTGAATCCAGCATCAAGCCCCCAAAACGGTTCAAAGCGCTTTCATCCAAGTAGCTCATGGATTTAAGATTCAAAAACAAGAGTCCTGGCAATCTTGAATTCTTAATCTTAGATCCAAAAGCGCTTTAAAGCGCTGTAAAGAGTTTTAGGTGGACAGAGTGGCAGTCAAGTGCAAATGCAGGCACAGTTGGATGGTCAACAACTGAGGTGCCAAAAAAGAGGGTGGACATCACCCAAAAATACTGTAAATACAGTCAAATTGTCTTGGGGTGTGTTTTCTTGTTTTTTTTTGGGTTGGGGGGGTACCATATATATATATATATGTATATTGCATGTGTATATATATATATATATGTACATTGCATGTGTATAATATATACATATACATGCACCCCACCCCCCCAAGGACTCTGGATTCCAGAGATCTACATTCTCGAAATGTCCAGTTGTGGGCCCCCAAGGCCTCCTGATTTGGAGCCCGGAGTCCTCCAAAATGTCCCAATATGAGATCCTTTCCACATAGGATTCTACTTCAACTAGAATTAAAATGTGATAGAACTTAGTAAGGATATAGTCTTCGACAGTGTGTGTTATGTTCAAACGTAAGTTAAGTAAACAATTCCTTTCCAAATAGGAATAGCATTAAAAAGTAAATGCAATTTAGGATAAAATCCAATTAATCTTTAGCAACACAAATAGATGAGTTTATTGCCAAATATGATTCAAATGTTAGACATAGCCCAATACGAACATGATTCATTTGGTCTTTGATAACAATCATATAGACACTAAAGTAATTCTCAAATATCGTTCATATTAAGTATGGCTAAACATTTAAGGGACTTCTACAAGGAAGCTCGAAATATGACTTGTTATTTACATTATTGTCCTTTTGTAGCAAAAGAAAGGTCCAAAATTAAAATGGTTAGAAGGTTCCAAAATGGATTGGCGGTTCATATTCTACAAGTATCTCGAAACAGGGATTCTAGCTAAATCAGTTGAACCTAAAGTCTTATTCTTACCCCTTAAAACTCCAAGCCCTGGGGAAGTTAATCTTTTACAGACATATAGCCCATGTTACCCCAAAAGTTGAAAAGTTTTGTTTTTAAGAGGTAAGTATTTGGACAGGAACTCATAATTCATTCTATCTCAAAAAGCGGAGGTAGATGAGCAAAGCTGGACAGGGAGTTCAGGGGGGGACGGTGTGCGTATATGTATGTATATACATCTACAGGTACACACACACAAATACTAAATATCTAGTACCCCGCGTGATCCTGCGCCTCATAGAATGCCGAAAACACGGTGTTTTCAGCATTACGCCTAGCTTGACCTCCTGGAAAAGGGTCAGCGTGAGCATGGCTTACATGAAGCATAACGCTCACAAAAGGCAGTTGAAAGTTTGTCTAAAGTGTTTCCACTGGATTGCTAAGCACTTGAAAGTATTTACCACTGGATTGAAGATTCCAGATTGAAGATTTCACAGAAAGCTTTCCTGAGAATCGTCAATCCTGGCCAAAGCCAACCAACATTCCAGTTCTTCTAGCACTTGAAAGTGCTTTACCACTGGATTGAGGCTTGAGGATTCACAACTGCAGATTGCACAAACAACTTTCCTGAGAATCGTCAATCCTAGCCAACCCCAACAAACTTTCAAGTTGTTCTAAAACCTCGAAAGCATTTTACCACTGGATTGAAGATTCAATATTGAAATATTTCACAGAAAGTTTTTCCGATAATATTGACTTCTCACTTTGAATCCACCCATTGAGGGAACTTGGAGGGTTGCAGTTTTCTGACCGCAAATGGTTGCGCACACTTGGTTGCAGAAGTATGTATTGAACATCTAGACTGGTGGGACAACCCTGGAATAGTTTTATTACTGTTATTGTTTGCTTTTTCAAACACCAAAACAATTACGGGATTCAATATTCAAGATTCCCAAGAGTACTTTTCTCAGATTCTTGAATCTTGAATGTTGAATCCCATTTGTATTACAAAAAAAAAAAAAAACGAGTTGTCCCAATACTCTGAGATGCATGCACACTCTGTCAGATGGCAAACTTTAATATCAGTGCTTGCTTTACATGTGTATGTATGTGTATAGATATATACGGTGGCACCTGACACATGTTGCACCCCCCTCCTAAATTTGCCACAAAATCAAGGAGGCAAAAAAACAAAACACTGGAAACAAAGCTCAAGCTCACCAAACCAGGGTTCATGGGCGGGGTACCATTTATGTAATATATATATATATATATATATATGGTCAACCCCCCCCCATGATCTACCTTTGATATATATATATATATTATGCACACATGTAAAACATACACATAAAACCATGAAACTCTTTGGGAACCTTCAGTCGTTGGCTTCCCATGATGAAGCCAGTAGCTAATGGTCACCCAACCAATACAAAAACCGATAGATCTATGTTTGTTTCTGTCGTAGGGACTTCCTTGGGTTGATGTTCAATGGACACCACATGCAAGACTCTTCTTTGGAAGCTTCCTTCCGCCTCCAGGTCCAGCTAGGTTGCGGAGGGTCGAACATCTCCCAAAATATCCCAAGGTTTTAAAGGGCCCCAGGGTCTAGTTCCTCAAACAAACAAAACCAGGCTGCAATTTATCCAACTCCTGAACGAAGAGATCCCCAAGTAAAGGCCCTTCATGGCTGTCGCCCGTGTTATCCCCCCTTTATGGGTGAGCTCGCCAGAAAGAATCCAGAGGCACATGCTGGTTGTAGGACTGGCTGAAGACCACGTGATTCCAGGAATGCGGCTTGCTGCCCGTGATGACCGGCTTGTCGTCAATCAACAAGTCACCTAGTGACCAAGGCACACTTTCTGGGTTGCTCCAAGCCCCGAGCGAAGCTCTATGTTTCAAGTCTCCGCAAAAGGAACCATGCCAGCCACCAATTCCAATTTAACCGGTGGCGCGCGCTTTCCCTGAGGCCTCTGAGAACGGGCACCAGTGAACATCCCAATCCCCACTAAAATAGACAAAAATGGGTGGTGCACCTACCCCAAGATGGTACCATTGGTTTTCACCCACAGCCAAGTGTTTTGATGTTGTTCCCAATCAAAAAGGGTCCCCGGCCCCAAAAAACAAATGCCCGGCCTTGCACTGTTGTCTTGTCTCTGGTGATGATCAAGCGCTCCTTAGCGCTCGGTCAATCTTGGAGCACGTGCCACAAGGGCCGCACGGATAAGGGCAAACCAAAATGGGCCCGAGCTAGAACAAATGTGTTGAACGTGGTAGGACTTGACCTTTTCTGCGATGTTTCCATCTCCACGTCTATCTTAGGAGATTCCCCTGGCACATAGGTGGCCTGTCGGAAAAATAGATGGCGCTGGTAAATGGAATAAACCCCATCCAAACCAGTGCCATCTATTTTTAACCAAAGGACACCTATGCCCTGACATAGAAGAAGGGCCAAAGCCCCTAGTGTTCTAGGGGTAGCTTCCCCATTCTTTCCAGGAATCCTTCCACCTAAAGAACCCTGGGGAAATGGATCTGGTTTTTGAAAACCACGATGGCTTAAAAGAATGGAAAAGGAATCAACCCCTAGAAGTGTGGCCCATACCCATTTCGACCAAGGCCAGGCCACCACAAAGGCTTTGCCCAACAGCTTCTCCACCGAGAGATACCTTGGCGGGCTCGGCGGCGCGCTTCTGTGGATTCGCCACAACAAGTCTCAACCCAACAAATGACCCAAGCAACCAGGAACCAGACATTCCGTCCCTTCCACTAACATAGCACCTCACAGGGAGTTCCTTTGAGAGCAAACGGATCTTCCAGATACCTTCCCGCAGGTGCTACGGTTGCTGGAGGAAGGGTAAGGTGTGGTGATGTGGGGCATGTATCCGAACATGCACAACACAGACAGAGAAAGAGGGTCCGTTGGGGTCTCATTGCGGGGCACGTAACATGGAACATGTCCCGCGAAGAATAAGGAACAAAGCAAAACGCCGAAATCAAATCCCTACGCGAGAACAAACAAACGAGAACAACAGAAAGAAAGAAAAAAAGAAGGACAGAAAAAGGAAAGACACAAACAGCTCGCAAAAACACACACACACACACACAGACACAGACACAGACACAGACACAGACACAGACACAGACACAGACACAGACACAGACACAGACACAGACACACACACACACACACACTGGTGATGGAAAATATCCAAGACCGAAGAAGGTGGAAAAGTCGAAAGCCTTAAGCCAATGCCTGTAGCAGGTGCCTCCGCCCTGCTCTGTCCCAGCCTGGCGTCAAAGAAGGTGTCAAAGAAGGTAAGCTTCAAGCTGATTTTGCTGAAATCGAGCATTGAAATGGAAAATGAAATGGAAAATGACACAGCAGTCACCTCTGGCTTTGAGTGATTAACGGCGTGAAACAACACTTGCAACACCCACATTTGGTAGCAGGTACGTCCGGATGATCAATCCGGATATCCTCCCAACTCATGAGCAGCTTCGTTGGCAGTGGGCTCATGAGCGGGCCACTGCCCCCTGCTTCTAACAAACAGTCCGCGATTCCGAGCAACGCTCTCCCTCGAATGGTGTGGGCTGTCACACACACAGAAGCCCCAAAGGGTCAGGTTTAAGAAGCTTGGTTTCGGACGGGCTTTTTCCACAGGTCCAAACGGTGTCCTTTGCAAACATAGCACCGACGTGCCCAAACAAGTGGGGTTAGCGGTGTCCAAAGTATTTCAATTGCGGGGAAGCCTCTCCAAGAACACTGAGTTCAGAACAATGAAAAGGAAAGAAAACCGGTTTCAATCACAGCATTTCGTCCGACATGTGCTAACGGTCAGTTCAGACGAACCCAGAGCTCTACCAAGGGATCCATGCATCCGTGCAAGTTGCCAAGACCATAAACGTCACCCAAAAACTCGTCTTTTGGGGGCCGAATCTGGTAAAGGACAAAGGTCAGGCTCTGCAAGCTTCTTTGGCCAGTCGACAAATGTCAGGCTCTGCAAGCTGTCAGACAACAGCAGTCCCCCCCCCCAAAAAAAAGCGGCCAATCCTTGGAGCGGAAACCTGGAGCCTGAACGAAAGGTGAAATAACCAGCGTGCAGCGGGCAGCATGATTTCTTTCATCGGTGTTTGTTTCGTCGAAGGGTTGCCCTTCAGGGTGAAACAGTTGAGGAGACTACGGGGGCTACAAAAATATCGCGGGCTTCAGAAGTCCACAAGTGGAAACGTTGCAACATGTCACGGGCAATTGGTAAGAGAGACGCGAAAGGAATTCCTTGAGTAGCATACATCCAGACCAAATCCTGAGCTTGGTGAAGGATCAATCGACGGGGCCGTACATACCTGCAAACCAAAAATAAGCGGGCACGTAAGCCCGACAGTATGGCCGTTTGTGCCCCGGCCGAGCGAAAACTTCGCAGCGCATGTGGAGTGACTGGCAATCTTAGTGTAATTGATCTTTGAAGGGGGTCGATCCGGAATCCCAGAACAATATCATCCTGAACAACTTCTAGTTCAAGGGGCCGACCGTAAAACCACGGCCAGCGAAGAATATTCAAATCATGACCTTGTAGCGGAGTATTGACCAATAGCAAAATGCGGTTATCCACATATCGCATGTTGGATCCAAGTACTTGAGGCCTGTAAGGACTGGACAAATGACCATTCCCGGAAAACTGCAACAATGGAGCACAGAACCGGCGCCCACTGTGAACCCATTGAGGCCCCACACGTTTGCTGGAAAACTGTTCCGCCAACGGTGCAAAGGCTGTACTGAAGTAGCACGCCCACGAGGGGAACAACATCCCGAAGTTGCAAAACCCTGACCGTGGACCCGGGCCGCCGCCATCTGCCCTTGAAGACTCGTTGAACACGTTCAGCATGTTGCGTGGTAACCGAGAAATCCGAGTCAATAGAAACGTCTTGAAGTTGAACATACCGGTGGATCAAAAACTGCACGGAAGTCAAAATTCGATGGTGTTCAACATTGTTGCAAAACCCTGCCAAATCTTGCTGGTCCAAGGCAATTTCCGTGTCCACAGCATTTTGGTGAAAGATGCGCCAAATAGACCGAAGAATGAGATCAGTACGTTGGGTTTTGGCCTCATGTGGAAAGACTGTCTCCAAAATTATCAGCAGCAGGCTCGAAACTGCCTGTCCAATTCTGGAGCACCACGAGCCGCGGCAGCTTACTATTGGCCTGGCCTTGTTCCATTGTCGTGAGGGTTTCGGTAGTAGATAGGCAAACCATAAGTTTCCCGAAAAATTCCATCCCCATTTGTACTTCCGAACCAGATCTCTCGTAATCATGGAAGGCAACCGTGAAATAATCGTGATTGGGCTTTGGTGAAGCCGTAGGAAAACATCAGGGTTGAGAAAGGTACGACGCAACAAGAAATGGTAGTGGCCCGGACACACACATTGCGTGAGGATGGTGGTCAGCTGGGCCCCGGACCCAACCATTTGTACGAGCGGCAAGCCGGGTGACACCCGAATATGTCCATGAATCAGTTGCCCGTTTAGAGAAAGACTGACGGTGTTCGTCCCAACTTGTTGATAGAAATTGGTTCCAGTATTGAATGAGTCTATTAGGTAAACGCCAATGCGCAAGCCATTCTGTGAATTGGGTGGCATTGTGCACAAAGAACCTCTGCCAGCTTGGCCAAATCGTGTCATTCATATTGGCCCAAGAAAGGGGTTCATCCGGCCACAAATCACTACCAAAGGCGCAAACGTGTCCAGTAATCTGGGAAAAGCTCTCCCCAGTGACCTTGCCCCGAAGTGGGCCACAGATGCAAGTCGGGGCAACGTCCGGCTGCCAGTCCCGCAAAAATTCTTTGAAGTTGAATAGCAATGCCTCAAGGCTCTGACAGCGAACTTCACATACTGGCCGAGAAGGAAGATGCATTGGTGGGAACAAAGCCCTATGGTGTTGACAAAAGGTTTGAACCCAGTCTTTTGCTTTGAGAATAAAGGAAGCGCTCCTCCTCTGAAGACAAGAATCAGCCGCAGTTGATTTACAGCTCGGGTGCGCCATGGTTCCCCCATATGTTGCGACATCTTGACCAGAAAACATAGAAAGGGCAGGGGTGCAGCACGACTCCGCAACAAACGGGCAGTGTTGAATTTGGCCACACCCTCACTGCCAAGTTCATGAAGTAACCGTAAAACGTCCTCCTGACTACGTAAATGAAAAAGCCTGCCCTCGCTAAGGCGCTGTCGCCAGAGGCAGGAAAATCTCCGTGTCAGTTGTCTTCCTATCACCCCAGAATGTGTCATATTCAGAACGTAGTTTGGGACCCGTAAGCCGACTTGACGAAGCAAAGGTGAAATCCAGGGCCAGCTGAGTTTGGGTTGAAACTGAATTTGCAAGTTGAGTTCACATGCCTGAACGTCTCTTTCTCGTAGGGCAGCAGGAATGACTATGTGTTGATAAAAGGTTCCGGTAGCCTTCCACCACCTGAGCGCTGGCTCGTAAAAAGCTATGCGGTCGTTTTGAAGCTGCCTGTATTTCCTGACTCGGCTCTGTTCTCTCTCATGTAGGGACATGCCCACGTAAAACGGGTGTCTACCGCAGTGGACACGTACGTACACCACCCCGTGAAAACTGTACTGCGCCCAACTATCTGAGTCAAGGTCCGTAAGTTCATGTTGCAGCAATGAGCGTAAAGAATTAAAACGTTTGGCGCGGGGAGCCCATTTGAGAACCCAGTGTTTCATCAAAGTACCTCGTAACCACTGGAAACGGTGTACCAGAGTCATTGGCAGGACCCTCAGAATTTGGGAATAAATTGCACCAGACAAAAGGAGAAAATGCCACACTACGTTCTGCACTTGAGAACGGCGGGATGTTGGGTCTCTCAAAAGTCACTGACGAATGAGGTTCACGGCTGCGAGAAGGCGCAACATGGCCGCGTGGTTCATCTTGGAAGCCGTAGACACATCTAGCCCCCATCCAATGAGCGTACGGTCAACCTCTGGGGCGTCAATGCCCGCTTCCTGGATCTCCTTTTCGAGCACTTGGATATGTTGTTCAACGCGGTTTTGCTGTTCTTTCGTGAGGTGTTTCTTGAGCCAAGCTCCCAAAGCACTGGACGTATGGGACGAAGGGCGGTTCTGTTCAAGGATGGGCTTGGAGGAACCGACCGAAAAGCGAGCCAAAGGTCTTTGGGAGGCGGAAGCGGAGGGCTCAGCGTCCATTGGAACAGGGGGGGCCACGGGGGTTGGAACGGGGGCAGGGTTGGCTTGAGAAGTTGGCAAGCCTGCCGTTCCGGGAACCTCGGCTTGTCCTGACTGATGTCCCCGTAGCTGAAGGTTTTCGGCTCTCAGCTTTTCAATTTCCGCAAGAAGGGCCGTTGCCGTGTCTGCAGGCATGAGGGTTTCCATGAACTTGACGATCTTGGGGACACATGACTTGATGGCATTGAGACGAAGGTTCCAATCATCACTCGTGTCCCCAGCTTCATGAGAAAGCATCTTTGACAAGTCAACGGATTCGCTGTCCCGCATACACTTGACCAAGTGGGATGCGAAGGCGGCTTCAACCCTGTTCCGGAAGGCTTCGATGGACAAGTTTCTGCCATTTCCCAGAAGACGCATCAACCAGCTATCTTGGGCGCCGTAGAGCAACTGGTAGAACTTCACTTCATGAGTTGGCATTCCTGCGGTGTTGTTGGCACGGGAATATGCTGTCGAGGCCACCAAACGAGGGAGGGCAAGGCCATGTTGGAGCTGTGTGTCAATGTGGGCATTATCTGTGCGCCACTCTTTGGGGACAGGAAAGAGTTTTTCCCACACACCGTGGACGAAGGCCGGCGCCAAACCACAGGCTGTCTGGGGGTTGGCAGTAGGGGTCCAAAGCGGAACCACACAAGACAGGCCCTGTTGTGGTGCAGAGGCAAGCGCATCTTTATTCTGCTCTTCCGGCTTCAGATTACTGACCCAGGCTCTGCAGCTCGAAGCCAACTCTGGACTCAACCGGTCTGAAAAGGGGTGTCTCGAACCGGAAGCAACGACGAAAAGAAACGAAACAATTGAGCGAGGTCCAGTCTTCGGGACGGCTGCAGAGCATGTTTATCTGGGGAAAAACACTGCCAAGCCTAATGGTTGGGCCACGTGGGAACGGATGAGCCATCGCTTGTCCCCCGCTCCATGAACGCAATCGTAAAAGAAATTGGCAGCGTGCTCGGAGAGCACGCCTCCCGACCTTAGACTCAAGTGGCCCTGGCGTATGTACGCTCGTCCGAAGACAGCTACAGGGGGTGCCTGATTTACACCGCCGAAACCCCATGCCTTGCGCATGCCTTGCAGCATTGCAAGTTTGAAAGAGTCCTCACTCAAGTCACTGGCTGGGTGGGCTCGACTATAAAATCCATAGGTCGGGAGCCATGAGTCATCAGCCCATGATTGGTCGACAAAGACCCTCTTTCAGGATGTTTGCAGCTGAAGGACCTGTTGTGTTGTGGAAAAACGCCACGTGTTGGAGCGGCTGGCTTGGGTACCGTGATCGCGCGTGTGCTGGGTGCATGTAAGCCAGAAAGGCCTTAGGCTGCGAGTTGACCTCAACCACCTCAACCCCCTGAACTCAGTCAACCAGTTCCTCTGCCCACGCCAATGTTGAAGTCAGCTGTCTGAGAACCGCTTGGATTCCTGGGGACGAATAATCATAACCTGGGTAGTTCTGGTGAAACAAGGTTATGAGCCAGTCCATGATATGCGGAATGGTGGCGTTCTGCACTTCGATGGGTTGAAATCCTCTGTGGGCCTGAAAGAGCTCTGGTTGGGGGGTGGTCAGCTCCGAAGTAGGCCGATCCCACTTCAACTGGGCAACGAATCCGGAAAGGGTCACTGACAAGGAGGTCTCGAAAACATAGCAGCACGTCGTAAACCGCCCACCAGGGTACCTCTGCAGACTCCCTAGTCATGGACATATGAAAGCCACTGAAGGAAAAAGGCACGTAACACCCGCGTCGGGCTTGAGACTCGGCTTCTACACGTCCTAGAGGCGATTCCATTGCTTCATTGCAATGAACTGCTCGAACCCATACCCAGAAAGCCTCCCCATCTTTGGGCTTGAAGTGCCAAGCATCTGCAGGGACGTTACTGGGTCGAAGCGGTTGCCCTGAGCTAACAGAAGCTGTTGCGCAGTCTCTGGTGGTTGCTAGACGGTGGTCTGGTTGGCTTCCGGTGGTTAAAGAAGGGGTAGTTTGAGGTCCTCCCCCGGATGTTGCACCGAAAATTGCCCCAAGATGCCAGAACCAAGGTGCAGCGTAGCTCCAGCGGGTCGGCTAGCTTGCGGCGCAGGCCCCACAGTCTGAGGCCCCGAGCAAAACACAGACCCGTCTGCCATCAGCACTCCAGGATTGCCGGGTGGGGGTGGGGCCCCGGACTTACATCTGGCTACCAGCAAGGGGTCAGAGTTCATG